CTGTGTGATGTGCACTGGAGGAAAAGTGTTGGAAAGTCCAAATCCTGACAGGAAAGCCTCCGTGAATATTAATAATCTGGGAGGATTTAGCAGCTTTCTACAATATGCCTCACTAACCCGAAACACTACTGCTTTCCATAGTAATCGGGGGAGGTGTTAGGAGGAGAAGGACAGCAGGGAAGAGGAGGAGTAGTGTAAACTGCTGGTAGAGCTGAAAACTGATCCAGAAACAGACGATCAGGAGTCCCTCTGATGCCGAACTCAAACTGGAATCTCACATTAATATGGTTGTAAGGTCCTGCTTCTTTAACCTGCGACGGCTGGCAAAAATCAAGCCCATGTTGTCCCGAGCACATCTGGAGTCAGTGCTCCACGCATTTGTTTTTTCAGGGCTCGACTACTTTAACGCTCTATATGATGGGTTGAGCAGGGCAGTAATGAATTGTCTCCAGTTGGTTCAGAACTCGGCAGCCAGGTTTCTGACAGGGATGAGGAAATTAGCACATATTACTCCTGTGCTGCTATCGTTACACTGGCTTCCTGTGGTCTTTTGGGCGAAATTTAAGATCCTCTGCTTTGTCTACCGGTCTCGATATGGTGGTGCTCCACCATACTTAGCAGCACTATTAACACGGCACAGCCCATCACAATTTCTACACTCGGCTGAGCTGGAGTTACTGACTGAGCAGAACGTTTAACATTAGTGCCATTGTTGTGCTGAGCAGTGTTTCTGTGTAGCATACGGGTCCCTTCAGTGTTTTCTGATCATCTCATGCCATGCTTTTTCTTCTGGCAAAGATGCCCCTCCCCCCACATACACACCTGTGAGTAGTGAACCCACTTATTGTCATGAAGCTGGCAGGGAAAAACAATTAGACTGAGGTGAGCTGAGTTACCCCACGCTGAATCCTGAAGTCAGACATTATTTGAGATCTTCTGATGAGCTTGTCATCTTCTACCTAAATTCAAAAAACGAATTCCTGCAGCGGGGCCCAAAGTTAAAACTTTAAACAGGACTCTCCTGGACCAAGCTCAGGACTGAGCCATGGTCCCTCATTAGGAGTTTGTCTGTGATGTTAAAGGTCTACCTGACGTTGTCTTCAGGCTCTGGCTCGCTGTCGCTGTCCTCAGCTTTCCTCTTGGCTCCTCTGCTGTCACTGAAGCTTGCAGATGGCTGAGAAGGACAACAAAACCCAGGTTCTGTTTAGATGTTTCATTGATTTATTTTAATAGATCAGTTTTAACAGTTTACATGAAAGCACTAAGAAACACACATTTTAATGACATCTCATTCTGATGATGAAATCTGTCTGTTGGCCCCAAACATCGATAACCTGTGCTCAGAACCACTCAATTGAAATACTTGGTTTTGGTTCTGGCTGAAAGCCAACAAAGTCTGAACCATCCTTCTGTTAGAAATCTCCGTTTTTTTTCTCAGAAAGCGCAAAGGTAGAAAAAATGTATTGCACCATATGCCCCTCTCCCCAATTCTGTGAAAACAAGCAGAAACAAAGTGAAAGGTGGTGTAAAATTAGTTGATTTCTTTGGTTGTGGTAGTGTTTGGGTCAGTTGAAGGCAAAGACATAGAAGCACCAGGGTCAAATCACAGTTATCCAATAAGATTAGTCTGCAGCCAAGTCCAAGATTAATTAAAATTAAGGACGGGTGGCACAGGAGTTAGGTGCACGCCCGTAATTGGAAGGTTGCAGGTCCTAGCCCCGCTCAGTCGGTCGCGGTTGTTGTGTCCTTGGGCAAGACACTTAACCCACCTTGCCTGCTGGTGGTGGTGGTCAGAGGGATTGGTGATGCCTCTGTCAGTGCGCCCCAGGGCAGCTGTGGCTACAATGTAGCTCATCACCACCAGTGTGTGAATGTGTGAATGAATGATAGTGCCACAAAACTCTGGAATTCACTACCCCTTCCAGTTAGACAAGCACCCTCGCTTGCCATCTTTAAATCAAGGCTGAAGATGCATTACTTCTTCATGGCCTTCGATTCTTAGCATCAACAATTCGTCATACCTCGTTCCCTGAAAGCGCTTTCATAAATAAAACGGTATGGTATAGTATTGTGTTGTAAATCAATCTATCCTTAGTAAATGGGTATGTACCACAGGATTTTAAGGTTGCTGTAATCAAACCTTCACTTAAGAAACCTCCTCTGGATCCAGATGACCCAATGAATTATAGACCAATATCTAACCTTCCATTTTTATCCAGAGTCCTGGAGAAAATAGTGGCCATCCAAGTATGTGAGCATTTAAACACTAATGCTCTGTTTGAGGAATTTCAGTCTGGTTTTAGAGAGTATCACAGCACTGAAACTGCATTAGTGAGAGTTACAAATGATATTCTCATGGCCTCAGATAAGAATCTTGTGTCTGTTCTAGTCTTGTTAGATCTCAGTGCTGCCTTTGACACAGTTGATCACAATGTTCTTTTAGAAAGACTTGAACATGTTGTAGGGATCAAAGGAACAGCGTTAGGCAGGTTTAAATATTCTACTTCTGTTTAATAAAAAAATGTGTGTTTCGACCATGCCTGTCGCATACAGTAGAGGCCAAAAATTTGGACACATCAGTCTCATTCAATGCGTTGTCTTTATCTTCATGACCATTTACATGGGGAAATTCTCACTGAAGGCATCAAAACTGTGAATGAACACATGTGGTTATGTTCTAAAGCAAAAAGGTGAAATAACTGAAAACATGTTTTATATTAAATTTTCTTCAAAATAGCCACCCTTTGCTCTGATCACTGCTTTGCACACTCTTGACATTCTCTTGATGAGGTAGTCCTTCAAGACCGTTGGAAAACCATTTCAATTGACTACCTGCAATGGGTTGTGTCTTTGCAGGTTTTTTGTTTTCCTCCACAGCACCCAGATTACCACATAGTGTGCCAGTAAAAAGTGTTCAGACTGACTCATCACCTCATGCTTTTTTTTTTTTTGTGTGTGTGGAGTAAACCCACCCCTGATGACTTCCCTGCACGTTTTTTCCCCGCCCACTTGCTTGGAAATTTTTGGAATCTCTAAGCAATTTTGAAGATCTCCATTTTGAAGTGTTGTATCAATCCTGGCTGGGGCTAACCAGATGAAACTGGGCCAAGCCATACTGGAAGTGCTATTTGAGTCGAACACTCAGTCAGCAGTGGGCGTGTTGGACTTCAGCTTGAAGAAGACCGCCGCGGGAGAATGGTTAAAAAAAATGACCAGTTGCACACAGCAAAACCCCCGGCTACCCAAATGAAAACATTCTCTCGCCAGCCCAGGCAGCTAGAGCCGATGCTAGTGTGGATCCCCTAATTGTCCCATGAATGATGCAGTGTGTAAACTCTTTTGTCAATGTTCTTTGTCCAGGATCCACGTGTCCTTATTTCTATCACTTCCCTAACCCATCTTTTGTAACCAAACAAATCAGAATGTGAAGAACCAAAACCAGAATAAAAATGTGGAATCATATGAAATACCATGTAAATGCTGCTATAAAACATATACAGGAAACCAGATGCCAACACAGAAATGGAACATATAAAAGACTGTTAAAAGTAACCAAGTCACAGAAACGCCAAAGCAGCAAAACAAGAAGCAGAACTAAAAAAAAAAGAAATAAGCTGAAACAGACCACTGCACAAGGAAAAATCATATAATGGATAGTACATGGATCATAAACACAGAACAACAAAAATACAAAAGACAGATTAAGGAACAGATAAAAATGAGGAGATGTGGACACAAAACCATGAACAGTGACAAAGGAGGTTACACACTGGATTGTTAATAAGACCGTGTCGTCGGCAAGGGGCTTGTGGGCAGTAGAGGGTGACATTGTTCTCCACTGCCAACAGATGCACTAAATCAAACAGAAAGGTTATGGATCTTTACACATTCGCCTTTTTTATATACTACTTGCAGAATTTCATGACAGAAATCTGTAGCTTATACATAGCATTTATTTATGTTATTCTGGAGTACTATAATTTTTTGTGTGGAATGCTTAGTATTTTTTATTTTTAGGTATCATTATCCAAAAATTATGGTTGATAATCCTTTATTTTAAAATTAAAAGAAATGAATGTCCTATTTATCTGTTTTTCTGTAGGATACTGACCCAGGGGATGTGGCTGTCCAAGGCATGGAACTTGGTATTCTCATGGTTGTCGAAGATGATGTTACACTCAACTCATTTCCAACAACAAGAGCATTGCCCTGATTATTGAGGAGCAGATTGTCCTTGATGACATCAGCAGTTTTCCTACTGCATTTGCACTTCTCTTCAGCCTCAGGCAAGCTTCGGTTTAACTTCTTCATCCAGGTAAAGGGAAGTTTAACCCTTTGATGCATAATGGTCATTACAGTGGACAGGTACTCAAAATTGTTATTTATTTGTTATTGCTATTAAGCACAGCTGTTGAAGACGTAATTGCATTTGAGCTCCTCCATTTGGACTTCATTAAGCCAAGCAAACATATTTCATGCTCAGAATGCACGCGGTCCACTGAGGTGGACATGTAATAAATTATTTGTAGATTATAAAATTTTACAAAAAATATTTGTTGAAATTTGTTTCATTCACACCTAAAGACGAATGAAAAAAATCGTTAAAAAAATCATGGTTGAAGATTTCATAATTCATGCATCAAAGGGTTAAGACATTGTCGGGGAAAAAAATAACACAATTTATTCAAGGCTGTCTCAGGGCTCCTCCCTGCAGTGGGCCCTGGGTAAACAATACCCCGTCCCCCCGTCCAACACAACTGCAGTGGAAGGGTTAAGTACAGCAGCTTTGGGGGGCCCCCTAGTGGCTTGTGAGCCCTATGCAACTGCATAGGTTACACATAGGAAGAAACGGCCATGATAGGGCATATAGTTAAATTCTGATGTTAGCCCAGATCTGGACAGGTGGGGGAGTAGAGGGAGGTGGAGTGTACAGTGGAGAATACAGTTGGTAAAGATGGCTATCCCTTGCCCTGCCTCCAACATGCCTCCATCTAAAAAGCTAGCAGTTATGCTCCATCTTTCAGTTCTTTTTAAAACACAGTGTTTTAAAAAGAACTGAAAGATGGAATTTGAAACTCAACACAGCAAGAACACACCAAAGATAGCAGTTATGCTGCTATAGGCTTAGACTGCTGGAGGACATACTAACCACTTTCCACACTCTACTACTTTCTTCAACAATTTATCTCTTAATTGCAATTTTCCTGCTATTTCTGCTGTTAACTTTACTTTTTTAACAGCTTTTCTCCTCAGAAGAAGCTACAATGGTGTTCTGCTGAGTTGTGGTGGCATCATGGAGGGGGCCATCGGCTATGTAACGTCCAGCAATGGTCAGTTTTAGGTACAGTTGACCATTCAACATCTGGTCAAAAAGGAGACACGAGACTGCATGTGTCCCCTCTAAACCAGCCTTCCTTCATCCCACCAGCTGGAGCTCAGAGCCTGCAGCTCTGAACACAGATAACAAAATGTCAGCAATAACATTTTCTCCTCAAGGTCCAATCTTTCAGGATTCTTAATGCCTCCATATAAGGAACACTCGCAGCCCAGATTAGTTGCTAAATCAAAGAATGATTTCCTAAATCACATATGAACTTCTACAACTTATAAGCTAGATAATAGTTAAATAAACTTTTGTTTATTGCTACTTATAATAATTATAATTAATTATAATAAAATGAAATGTTTCATTCATCTGTGCTCAATGATTGAAGTTTGAAATTAATGTTATGCTATGATTACAGTGATTGAAATGTTTCAGCATAATGACATGACAAGGTCATCACCATTTGCACTCACACAAGGACAAAGTAAGGTTAAGTTAAACCCATGACACATAAATAGTCCTTTACCCAGATCAGAGCGTCCGGTATCAAGGAAGGTGTGTTTCTGAGATTCTTGGTAATATTCCTCAAACTTGTCAACCTCTGGTTGGCTACACAAATCATAACATGAGAACATTAACACCAGATCACTCTGGTGATTCCTCAGTTCTAGAGAAAGCTTCACACCGGCCACCTGAAGCAAAACCCTCTTTAACCATCAAAGTTTTTGACACGTCATCAAAAACTTTTTGCACCTGCGAAGCTGATACCGCAACCGTTCCTGCAGAACAAGCTGATATTGTTTAAACTCCTTAAGAGTCCCAGACGCGTGGTTCCATTTATCTGTCCTGACCCGAGACATCTCTGGACTGGAGAAGTCTGTGCTGTGGTCAATCTACTGGACCTTCGGTGCCAGAGGTCATCCGACCTCTCTGACCTTCGGATCCACTAAGAGGGTCTCCGAAAACGGGTGAAGCAGACACACAGATAGTGTCCGATGTGCTTTTGATGATAATCAACTTCATAGCTTAACGCAAATCAAATTCTTTAACATCCAGAACTCAGCTTTCCTTGATACGGAAGTTCTGACTAACACCGCATTGACACATAGGTTCATACATCACATCTAGTTCCATCCATCACAGTAAATGCTTAGTTAACTTGTCATGTTTTAATTGTTGGTCAATTCTTACTTTTATAAACCTGACTCTTTTCTGAATCAAAACGAAGTGTGTACAATCCCCTAATAAATAAAGAATCCTAGAATCTTGTGATTAAACACCTTAAAGACCAAGCAGGGTGATATTCTATATTTAGATAGAGTATCACAGCTTATTGGTCATAAGTAGAGGTAATATATATATTGAGCTCTTAAAGCACTCAATTTCCTAAACCCTACAGCTAGCACACTGCTGCTAACCACTAAACATTCTCCTTCTGATAAAAACCTACTTTCTTTTCCATGGAATGTGCTACTACTAATTAACCTGTTGATTTTTTTATAGAATCACCGAAGCTAGTTTTTGAAAAAGTACTATTCAGAGTAACTCGGACGGTGCAGCTCGGCCCAACCACAATTTCCAAGGGCATGGTTCAGTATTTTCCCTCTACTTTCTCCCCTATTTTTATTCCCTGCTCCATTCAGGTACCTGGCAAGGCAGAGTCAGGCCGGCATCGTGACTCGGACCGTTGATTGTCTAGGGGACGGAGTCACAGGTTGCTCCAGAGTTTTTTGCCTTCGGCTTCACTGCCTGCAGCCATTTCCTAGTTAACCATCAACTGCACATTTCCTTTAAGCCCCATAAGAAGTCTACGCTGCAGCTGTTACACACCTACTTAAGACTACTGGCGCTTACACATTAGCGTCGGTACAGTACCGTACAGGACCGGAATTTGGTTTCACACACAGGTCAGATTTGCGTTTTTGGTTCTGAGGCAACTATTTTTTCAGGGCTCCTCCCCAGTGGTCAGACTGGGACCGTGGAGACACTACGGACTGATTGGCCAGCTGAAATTATGCCTACCGCTTTTGATTGGCGAGTAGAATCAGGCAGCAGGACGGTTCCAACATGCACGATTCATTCATGCTGGATACTGTAGCACGGAGCTGCCAATCAGTGGGAATGGGAGATGAGAGTGAGCTGTGTGTATGTGCCTGTCCCCTGCATCGGAGCTTTCACCCCGGCGAGCAGACACTGGTCAGGGGAGAAAGCAGTGGTTGTGTGTGTGTGTGTGTGCGTGGCCCACTGCAGCGGAGCTAAGCACAAGAATATGAGGACACACACAGCAAATTAATAACATAATGTGGTTCAGAGTCTCCAAAAGCAACACAGCTCATACCCGCCTTTGTTCATCTTTCCCGCACATATTAACTGCCACCCATGGGCTCGGGTATTTCTGAATTCCTGAGAAGTCCTTCAGATTTATATGTGAACACTACACCGTACGTTCGAGACCGAACTCACGCCATCCAGCCCCACCAAAAAAAAACGACCGTGCCACCGCTAATGTGTAAGCGCCACGTTAAAACCTGGATGGTTGGGAACTTTCTAGAGCTGAAAGAAGATAAAACTGAAATCCTTATTTGTGCCCCAGACAAGCTGGTTCCCAAAGTCAGAGACTCTCTTGGGTCAGCTTTCTTCACACTAGGGCTGCAACAACAAATCAATAAAAATCAATGAAGAAATGCGTTGGCCAGGCGTTTAGTCGCCTCTGTCAGAGCGCCCCAGGGCAGCTTTGGCTACATTGTAGCTCATCACCATCAGTGTGTGAATGTGTGTGTGAATGGATGAATGATGCACTGTAGTGTAAAGCGCTTTGGAGTCCTTACTCTGAGAGGCGCTATACAAGTGCGGGTCATTTATCATTAGTCATCAATTCGTTGTGCAACTTTTTTTCATGTCGCACAACCTTAACAGCCAATGCGCGCAGCTCATGTGTAGGAGGCAACAGAGCAGACCTAAGCAGATCAGAACGAGAAAGCCAGTGTTTTGATGAGGAATGACACACGTTGAACAGTAAGTTGCTTACTGATGCACAATGAGCTAATGGTGTGGAGGAAAACAGAAACCAGCAAAGACCGAAAGGAAGAAACGGTTTGGGATCAAAAGCACAACTACGGGCAGATTAGCTAATGCTAGCAGATGGCAAGCCAACGATCAGGTGGAGTTCCGAAAACACATACCATACCAACATTATTTCTAAAGCACATATAAAAACGGCATGGCAGCCGACCAAAATGCTGTACGGAAAAAAAGTAAAACACAACATAAAAACAAAAATACAATTAATAATAAAAGTACACAACAAAGCAGAAAATCACAGTCAATAAAAAGAATACATAATAAAAATCATTAATAAAAGTCAAGGGTTTAAAAATGCCTGGTCGTAAAAGTGGGCCTTAAGCAGAGACTTGAAATAGGAGAGGGATGGTGCCAGCCTTACTGAGAGAGGACGAGCATTCCAGAGGGATGGAGCAGCATAGACAAAAGCACGCTGCCCCTGCGTTTTGTATTTTGTTGTGGGAACGTGAAGCAGCTAGCAATCAGCAGATCTCCATGCCCGGTTTGGCACATAACAAGTCACAAGGTCAGACAGGTCACAGATTATGTGAATTAGGGATGTGGGTGTGAGTGCGTGCGTGTATTATCTTATGTAAACATTGTATGAAAATGGATGAGACCTCAGGAAGACTAGCATCTGCATTTAGGCAGAAGCTAATGAGGACCTCAATAAAATGTAATGAAACAGGTAATCCGGTGCCAGACAATTCAGGGCCTTAAAAACACACACCAGTATTTTAAACTTCACTCTGAAGATTACAGGTGTCCAATGGAGCAGTGTCAGTACAGGTGTGATATGGTCACGTCCAGGGGGGCTGCCAGAGATTTTGGGCCCCATGAAAAAATATCAAGTTGGGCCCCCTGGGGGCTCATCCATAGCTGGAGCTGGGGTTCCACCCTCCCAGATTTGAAGGGAGAAAAAAATATAATATGTATACTTTATATTAGTGTTTCAGTTTTGCTTAATTATGTAGGTCTACATGCATTCTTACTTATTTACATATCATTTTCACCAGCTGTCTCTCATTAAACAGTGAATTTCCTTCAACAGAATTAGCAATATCTAGTTTTGTTTGCACCTGCACTGACCCGCTCTGACCAGTAACTACACTGACTTGTATAAAGAAGCTGCTTCTCTAATTATTGTCTCCCTATATTATCATTTCATTGTGTTTATTTCTTACTTCTAATTTTTACCCCTCAATTTTTTTTCTTGCACCAAGCACCGCAGCAATTTCATAAAGTTGTGATTCTCACACATATGGCAATAAAACCTTCTGATTCTGATGACTATGGTTCAGATGGTGTTGATAATAGTTGTGAAGGAACAACCAAAAACACAGTTGTTCATTCTGCAATATTAAAATAAACACACACACACACACACACACACTCACGTTGCCTCCGTTCTTCATGGTGGCCTTCAGCGACTGAGCAGCATCCTGAAAACAACCAGTAACACCTATTTAAGGAACAGTTTTGCTCCCAGTTTAGGTTGTAATGGTTGACCTGTACCATGTTGGAATGCATCCTCATGCCGTAGGCCTGGTGTCGAGCATTTTGGACGGGTTCTGGTCGATCTCGCCTCCCCAGGGCCTGAGGAGCAAACTGCCCAGTGGTCAGGAAAGCCGGACCCTGCTGCTCAGCCTGCGTCAGAGACATAATCAGAGTTCCGAAGGAAACAAACAAACGAACATCTGGATCTGTGCTGACAACTACTTGGATCTTTAAACATTTTTCTTCACAAAACTCACTCTCATCCGCTTCCGTTTTTCTTTGTTCCTCCTCTTGAAATTTTCCTAAAAGACAAATTTGGCAAAATAACCCGTGTGAGATTCCCCACTCATAACTAGAGGAGGACAGCAGTAAAACCTCACATCGTCTTCTTTGCGTTTTTTGAAGATGTTGTCCTCGGCGACGCCCACAGCCTGCATGATCATCTCTACTCGTTCCAGATTGACAAAACCATTGTGGGTGAGGTATCCCTGCATAATTAGGTGACAGAGAAGAGTCTGAGTCAGGAAAAGAGCTCCCTGAGGATCCTGAGAAAAAACTGTGACCCGTTCACCCCGTACTCACTCCTGTTTTATGTACAACATCTTTGTAGATGTTGACCAGTCGGTCTATAGCCCCTTCCCTAAAGAAAGACAGTAAAAGGTGAGTTGGCATCACGTCACAACCACCTTTAATTCTCTCCACGGCACAGAGGACACAACCCTACTTTTATCTGCTCACACAGATTTTTTACACCAGCCCCCCTAAACACCACCAACGGGACGTTTCAGCCAAAGCCAAGTGTCCTGATATCATACAGGCTTTTATAGTGGTGGTCTGATGGAGGAGGAACCAAATAGACCGTGTGTGTGGAACCACAGATTTCCTGAAGAGAGCGGTGATTTGAAATGTCAGCATTCCTTCGGTGGATCAGAGATGAGATTATTGGATTAACTATGAGATAATCTCCAGCTTCAAGTACCATTTCATTATTAAGGGTATGGAACGATGCACTTTTTCATGCATCACTCACGCTCTTCATAAGAATTGTGTTTTTTGTGTTCTGCCTGATCAAATAAAGTCTCGCCCCATGAGTAAAACTTACAAATTGTAACTGAATATTAAAGACAAATGGAAATAAAGCTATGAAAACTCCACCCTAAACCATCTGAGGGACATGATGTTGAAGCTTCTGCTAGCTGAGGAGGTCTAACCACCAACCCACATCCATGTTTGTTACACGCATGAATTTTTTAAAGGACCTGTATCATGTTATTTTACACCTTCCAGAGCAAATACAGGCATAATGTATGATAACAAAAATTAACATAGGTACTATAGAGAAGATGTCGTTTTTATAAAATTAAAAGTTATTTTCATGACTCATTACTTCAACCCAGAAATAAGACGCACGGGTTCAATGAAATCGTACCACCACCTGTATAATTTCCACAATAGTACACAGCTGCAGACCTGGAAACTGCAGATTCATGCCAACATGTCCCACTCAGCTATGCCTTCATTTGTTGTTGTATTATTCATATATTTGTACTCATTTTGTTCGTTAAACCACAAGAATTTACAGATAATTATATTTTAATCTATTAGCTGTTGTGACCAGATACTCACCAGACTTGAACAGCATAAAATTAGTGTCAGATAAAGTAAGGAACCTTGGTGTTATCTTTGACCAGGACATGTCATTCCAAGTCTCACATTAAACAGGTTTGTAGGATTTCCTTTTTCCACCTTTGGAATATTGCTAAGATTAGAAGCATCCTTTCAACAACCAATTCTTTTACACCCAGAGTTCACAATTTCTCTCAGATATAAAGAACGGTTGCTACAACATCTAGCTTCCATCACAACACCTCACATCCACCACACCACATCTCCTTATTCATATCTTATCATGTATAAATTATTAGCTTAGGAAAAATAATTAAATTTATTTTATAAACTATATACTGACTGAATTAATATGAAGTGTGTTTATGGTTCCTGAAAAAGTAAAGAACCCGAGAATATTCAGATTAATCATTCAAAGATCAATCACATTGATATTTCATATTTATTTGGAATATCATGTCTTATTGGTCATAATTACTATCTTTTAATTGCTACAGCACAAAATGTGCCCAAAATGTGCCCAAAATGGTCCAATGAGGTCCACTTGGATTTCTATATCAATTATTACCTTTTTTGCATGAATTTGGGGTCAGCAAATTTTCAGATCCTTTCTTGCAGATTTCTAGATGTTTTCAATCAATCAATCAATCAAATTTTATTTGTATAGCACCTTCTACAACATTATCCGAAGCCCAAGGTGCTGAACAACATCATTAAAAGAAAAACATTCTCAATACATGGGCATAAAAGCACGATAAAAACATAAAATCATAAAATAGCAAGCAAACAGCATTACAGATAAGAGATATTGGAATAAGACCAATCGATTAAAAAAAACAAATGTCAGACAAAATAAAATCAAGCATCCGGTATAAAAAGAAGAATAGTTAAAACCATAATGTTAGGGCAATTCAAGTGACCCTAGCGCTGAAACGCAATCAGATAAAAATGAGTCTTTAAACGAGACTTAAAAACTTGAAGGGATGGAGCCTGTCTAATGCTCAGTGGCAATTCGTTCCACAGAGTTGGAGCCAAAATAGAAAAAGCACGACTACCCCTCGATCGAAACTTCGACCGGGGGACCACCAGAAGTTCCTGCTCGGCTGAGCGAAGAGCCCGAGATGGAGCATACCTGTTCAAAAGCGCAATAATATACGAGGGGGCACTGCCCTGGAGGGCCTTATAAACGAGAGTTAAGATTTTAAACTGAGCTCGATATTTTACCGGGAGCCAGTGCAGAGCAACCAGCACTGGGGTAATGTGCTCTCGACATCTAGTGCCTGTCAGGAACCTAGCCACAGAGTTCTGCACAAACTGGAGCCGTGCAACCATGCACTGGGCCAGACCAGCATACAGAGCATTGCAGTAGTCCAGCCGGGACAGGACGAAGGCATGCAACACAGACTCCAGATGAGCTCTGGACAGCAGAGGCCTGATCCTGGATAGTCTTTTCAGGTTAAAGAAACAGGACCTCACCACTGTATTTACATGAGTGTCAAGATTAAGTGCTGAGTAGATTTTAATCCCCAAATTACTGACCATTTTCTTTTCATAGGGTGTCAATGGGCCAAGGTCAATAACAGCACCAGAGCCATTTCTTCTGCCAGGACTAAGTATTATAACTTCCGTTTTGCTCTCATTTAGGTGTAAAAAATTAGAAGCCATCCAGCATTTTATGTCCTTCAAGCAATCCAGTAAAGGAGAAACAGATCTATCCTCCCCACGTTGAAGAGGGAGATAGATCTGGCAGTCATCAGCAAAGAAATGAAATTTCATATTATGCTGGCGAAGGAGGACTCCAAGAGGAAGCAAATAAACTGCAAATAGGAGAGGACCAAGGACAGAGCCCTGTGGCACACCCCAACGAAGTTTCACGCTGGGTGACGTTACCTCACCCATCTGAACACTAAATGTCCTGTCTTGAAGATAAGAGCGAAGCCATTGGAGGGCCTGCCCAGTTATCCCCACCCAATGCTGTAGTCGGTCCAGAAGGACTTCGTGGTCAACTGTATCAAAAGCTGCAGATAAGTCAAGCAATAGCAGAACAACATCATTGTCCATGTCACAGGCTAAAAACGTGTCATTAAAAACCATTAAAAGAGCAGATTCAGTGCTGTGACCTTTCCTGAACCCTGACTGAAAGGTTTCCCATAAATCATTTGTGTCCAAAAAGGCAACCAATTGTGAATACACGACCTTCTCCAGCAGTTTGGAAAGAAAAGGGAGTTTTGAGATGGGCCTGTAATTAGCTAAGGTTGTCACATCCAGCCCCGTTTTTTTTAACATGGGATGAATAACAGCCTTCTTAAACGAGGACGGAACCATACCAGAAGTAAGACTGCCATTTATGATTGCCAACAGCAAAGGGCCTATCACTGGAAAGAGTTCTTTATAAATTCTAGGGGGCAGCACATCACAAGGAGAGCCAGAAGGTTTGAGCTGAGCGACCAGTTTTTCCAAGTCTGATAATGTAACAGTCTCAAATGTTTCCAGTGTAGCCTGGAGCGGCTCATTTAGAAGGAATTTTAACATCATAAAGGGGATGTTTTTTTAGGCAGAACAGATTTTTTTCTCATTTCTGCTGTGTTCCAGCTGTGTTACTCTCAATCAGAGACATAAGTGTTGCTTTTTAGAATTTTAGAGTAATATCTTTATTTGATAGTAAAAACAGCTCAAATAAAACTTGTAGTTTATGAGATATACTTAATTCATTTTGTGCACGTGCTTTTCTTTTCTTTTTCTTTCTCCCGTGTCCTGTCTGGCTGTGAAGCAAACAGAACTGATGTCTGAATGCTGGAGACAAGCCTTACAGATTTACTCTCAGGTGGGGCATCAAAGCTGCTGCTTTAATGTCACGCCTGATACTTAAAACTGTATCAGTGTATTTGGATGCTTTATAATTTCGACCAGACACGGAGACAGAGGTGAAAGAGAAAGGAAGAGATAAAAGGAAGGGGAGGGTTCCAATAAAATTAACAACCAATGATGAACAACAGTCTGCTTCTAGACCTGCAGAAAGAGAAAACAACACACAACAATACAACAGGAGCAAACCATCACTCGTCAACCTGATGAAGAAATATAAAATCAACATTGTTTTACTGAACAATCACATGATAAATCACAGTGCATTTAGTGCCAACCACTGCCTTAAGGCATGTGTTGAAAATGCTCAAGTACATACTTATGAGAGCACCATGTGAGCACCTGTGTGTGTACATGTGCTTGTATATGGTAAATGGCCTGTATTTGATATACTGTAGCGCCTTCTAGAGTTCTGGAACCCCCAAGGCACTTTACAAGACAATCAGTCATTCACCCATTAAAACACAGTTTCACACGCTGGTTTCTTAGTCAGCCCTGGGGTTCTGGTCATGGTGGAGGCCTAACTGTTCTTTTCAGAGACCATCTTCCATGTAGCTCTAAAACCTCTGGTCGCTTTGCTTCCTTTGAACTGCAGCTGATTAGAAGTCGAGTGTAAGGACTCTTTCTACTGTGCTGTGGTCTATCGTCCACCTGGTCCAAACAGTTCTTTCCTTCAGGAGTTTTGTGACTTTTTATCCTCCACTGTGAAGCTGTCCAGACTGGTGATTGTTGGTGACTTTAACATCCACGTTGATGATCCCTCAGATCACTTTGCCATGAATTTCTCCAGCCTTATGGACTCCTTTAGCTTTACCCAGCATGTTTCTGGTCCCACACACACCAGAGGACACACTCTGGACCTTGTTTTTACCCTGAGTCTAAATGCTGACAGTGTTTGTCCTGAGGACGTTTATATTTCTGATCACCATTGCATTTTCTTTAACTTGTCAGTTTCTGCGTCCCCACCTCCTGCTCGCCGTATGGTTAGTTCTCGTTTTCTTAATGAGAGCACAGCTAGCAATTTTTCTGCTGCTTTTGATCCACCCTGTTCTTCTGATAACGACCCAGATTCCTTAACTTCTCAGTTTAATGAGCACTGCCTCTCCATTCTGGACAACATCTGTCCTGTCAGAACCAGATCAGTTCCCGCAGTGAACCCTACTCCCTGGTTTAATGACAGCCTTCGCAGCCTGAAGCGCCAATGCAGAAAAATTGAGCGTTTGTGGAAGAAAACCCATCTCCACGTCCATCTGCTGCACCCAAAGGATCTTCTGACATCCTTTAACTCTGCAGTCAGAGACGCGAGGGTTTCCTATTTCTCCAACCTGGTGTCCCAGAGCAAAGGGAACCCCAAGGTGCTGTTTAACACCATCAGCATTATCCTCTTTCCTGCCTCTCCTACAGCTTCCATCCACTCTGTTGCAGACTGTGAAAACTTTCTTTCTTTGTGGACAAAGTCAATAAGGTTAGATCTAGCATCTCTCCTTCAGCCTTATTGCTGCCTCTCTCTGTCTAAGCTTCAGCTGTTACACACCTGCTTAGACTATCAAAACCTGGATGGCTGGGAGCTTTCTTCAGCTGAATGAAGATAAGACTGAGATCCTCATCTGTGCCCCAGACAAGCTGGTTCCCACAGTCAGAGACTCTCTTGGTCAGCTTGCTTCTCACACCAAATCTTCCGTCAGGAATCTTGGTGTGACCTTTGACCCAGCTCTCACCCTGGATTCTCATGTCAGTTCTCTTGTTTGCTCTTCCTTCTTCCATCTCAGGAACATTGCTAAGCTGAGTCCCATTCTGTCCCGCTCTGAACTTGAGACAGTTATCCACACCTTCATCTCCTCACGCTTAGACTACTGCAACTCTCTTTTCACGTGTCTGAGCAGAACCTCCCTGAACCGTCTACAGGTGGTTCAGAAGGCCTGTGCTCGGCTTCTGACCAAGTCCTCCAAACACACCCACATCACCCCGCTTCTCCTCCAGCTTCACTGGCTGCCAGTCAACTTCAGGGTTCATTTCAAGATCCTGGTTCTGGTCTATAGGGCCTTACATGGACAAGCACCATCTTACATTGGTGATCTTCTTAGTCCTGACACACCCAGCAGGTCCCTGAGGTCCAGTGATCAAAGCCTACTGGTTGTGCAACGCACCAGGCTAAAGGTCAAAGGTGACAGATCATCTGCACCTGTGGCCCCCAGACTCTGGAACTCTCTCCCCTGAGCCTGAGATCAGTGGACTCAGTGGTCTCCTTTAAAAAGCAGCTGAAGACTCACTTGTTCAAGCTGGCTTTTGTATGACCTTCTTCACCCCTCTCTTTATTCTGCTCTCCCCACCTATTCCACCTTCCTCAGGATCCACTGATTTCCCTCTTTCCTATTCACTCTCTCTTTCTTAACATTTTTTCTTTTAAATCGCAATTGCTTATTCTTGCTCATTTTAAATATATTTTTAAACATTTTCTAAATGCTTTTTTATTTTTTAACAGTTTTTTATATTTTTTGTTTTTGTGAAGCGCCTCGTGATTTTTATCTTGAGAGGCGCTATAGAAATGATATTTTCTTCTTCTTCTTCTTGTGACGTGTCAAGGAAGGCTTCCTCAGAAAAGGAGTTTTTCTCTCCCCTTTTTTACTCTTCTAATTTACATAAAAGTGGGTCAAACACGACTTTGACTTTTTGACACACTACTTTTGACCACCCAAGCGGTCTTTGCTCAACAAGGAAAATGTTGGTTTAGATTCTAGGTCCTCTTTAAGATGGGAGTGGAAATGTTGTTCCGACTTCCCAAACCTTACGCGCAGTAACACTGCGAGATGTTGAAGCAACAGTAGTCATACATGATGTGAGCGGCACTTCCCCAGTGTCTAGACAGTTTTTAAAATGCTGTCTCCGTGTCTGATGAGTCAAATGATGATGCATAGCATGCTATAACAAGACAGTTTGTGGACAAGATGAACACCCCTCCTTTCTCTGAAAATTGACTTTATAACAAGTGACTGAATCCAGACCCGACCTAATTCATGTGAATGCCAGATTTGGCTTCAAAGACAGTGATTTTCGGTGAAAATCAGCAGTAGCTCAGAAGGTAGAGCAGGTTGTCCAATAATCGGAAGGCTGCAGGCCTGTTTCAAAAGTGCTCCTAAACCCTCAACCTTCAGATTGAGGGGCAGAAAGCTCACCTGATCTCCAGAGACGGAAGGTGAGGCAGGAAGTCGTTGCCTACAAAGAAGCACATGAAGACCCAGTCGTCTACACTGCGCTCAAAGTCAAAAGGAAACGGGAGGCTGGCCATGGTCAGCTCTCTGGACAGGTACTGGAAACACACACACACACACACACACACACACACACACACACACACACACACACACACACACACACACACACACACACACACACACACACACACACACACACACACACACACACACACACACACACACACACACACACACACACACACACACACACACACACACACACACACACACACATTTAATCATCTTCCTTTTACTTGGTGAGTCTACAGGTGGAGGCTTCCTTTTACCCCTAATGCATTCTGATCTCTAGATCTGTTTTTGTGATTGTGTTCATAAAACTGATGATTCAGCTGGTTCTGGATCTGCTGGATCCTTGTTAGAACCAACATCGAGTCAAGCTGATGGTGTGGATCTCTGTTCTTACAGTTCCTGTTCACAAGTCTCACTTGTTTAAATGAATCTTAGATTGATCTAGATTAGAGACCCTTCACCCTAACCACCTGCTTGTGGTGGGTGGAGAGACCTGTGGAGCCTGTGTACGGCAGCCTCGCCCCTGTCAGTGTGCCCCAGAGCAGCTGTGGCTACACTGTAGCTCATCGCCACCAGATTGGGAATGGATGAATGATTCATTGTAGTGTAAAGTGTCTTCTGGCTCAGATCATCTTTCCAGCCTCCAATAATCTGTCAAATAAATGACAATGGACGATATATTTGTACACCTGACTTTTTAAAATCCCACACCGACTGATTTGCAAACACAGAAGTCCAAACATGGATTTTTTAATGGAAGCTCAGCACATGTGCTGAATTTAAAAGAAATTTAGATTTTTCTTCCCTATTTGATTTTTGGTAAAGCAACATATAAACGGCCCGTATTAAACACAGCTAGGGTTAAAAAGATGCCTCATCTTTTACCATTGTGGCATTTTGTTTAAATAAAATCTTTTCTTGTGTGTGTTTATCCGAACAAACTACTAACTTTCTTTCTATTGAGTTTGAGAAGGAAATGGAATAAATCGCAGCTGCATTTAGACGCTCTGAGGCCAGGGGTCACGTGATCCATTTTCCCAGTCACTTTCATTAAAAAAAGTAATGAACAAAACAATAATACCATTACATTTCCATTTTTAAATAATATTAACCGTGTTCTTTCAGGTTTCTTCAAATCAAACTCAAGCCTTTTTAAGACCCTTCATATAAAAACTTAATATCATCATCATTTATAGAACACATTTGAAATCCAGCAATGAGAGCTGACCAAAGTGCTTCACAGGCAAATAGAGAAAATTAAAAACCATAAAACCTAAATGAATCAATAAAAACACAGATAAAACATTAAAACAGAAGCCTGATTCATGCTTCTCCGTCAGCTCCGCAAGGGACAGACATGCACGGATTGACGGAAGCGTTTTGCTCTCATACTTCGTTTCCTGGAGAGTGTTGCAAAGCAATTCCCCGGCAGGACAGCAGAGGGCGTAGCGCTGTTTTGTGGTATCCTGTCATGTATCAGTCCAAGATAGTGTTTATATTGTGTTTTTTGTATATAAGAGACTTTTTAACACTGACAAATTTGTCTCATTGTCCTCCACCTTTTCATGCGCTCGCCACCTCTAAACCCACGTTTCCTGTCATTTCTGTCCACAAATAAAACGCTTGCTCCTCCAGTCACGGGGAATTAAAATGTTCAAATTTTCTGTTTTTTCGCGAGGTATTCTTCAAGCTTCTCCGTGTCTGCCGCTAGTTATCCTCAGCTCTCTTTGTGATTTTGAGGGCGCAATAGCGGCGGTGGAGACAACAGCGGTGCCCTGACCAATCACAAGCTTGCGTTCTCTGACGGACAGATGTTTAGAAGAGAGCTCAACTCCGTCCGTCCTTGTGGAGCTCTCCAGCAGGCCCGCATGGACGGATAATGGCGTTGCGTGTCTCCGCACTGACACAGACGCAGAAGCATGAATCAGGCTTTATGGCATAGAGTGTGAGGAAATAACGATATTTCCACATAATCCAGTCCTCTCGGACCACTTTTTGATAACCTTTGAGTTTTTTTATAACCGAGTTCTCGAGACAAGAAAGTAAATTTCACTATAGTCTGTCTCTAACTGACAATGCTGTTGCATCTTTTAAATCAACTGTTCCATCTTTACTGTCCTCAGCATCTCAGAGGAACATAGCAGAGGGCAATATTTTCATTTCTAGCCCCTCACAAATTGATGATTTAGTTCATAATGTTGCTTCTTCTTTATGTGTGGCATTAGATGATGTTGCCCCTTTAAAAAAGGTTATTAAGCACAGAAAGTTGGCTCACTGGTTTAATTGCCATTTACGAAAAAAAAAAGAACAAATTTCAGGAAACCATTAAAATACGGAGAAAACCATCCAAGTTGTCCCTTAAGATTTACTTTCTCTGATTTATATGTAATCACCACGGGAAACGGGACCACATCAGTCCAGTTCTGGCCTCCCTGCACTGGCTTCCGGTCTGTTATCGTTCACACTTTAAACTCCTCGTCTTTGTGTACAATTTCTTCCAGGGTGGTGCTCCCCCATCTAGACACACTCCTGAACAGACATTCCCCATCACGCACTCTGCGCTCCTCTGACCAAGGGCTGCTCGCTGTCCCTCGTTCTAAGTGTCGTACTCGCGGGGACCGGGCTTTCTCAGTCCTAGCACCGTCACTCTGGTACCAGTTGCCACCCTCAGTTAGGCTGTCCCCATCTCTGCCAACCTTTATGAGTCGCCTAAAAACCCACCTCCTCCGCTTGGCGTTCCCTGAACGTGTTTGAATTTGGCCCTCTTTTATGTTGATTTTATTTCCCTGTTTTCATTGGTCTCTTTCTCCCTTGTTTAACCCATTTGTCTTCTACTTTAATGTTTTACCTTTTTGCACTATTTGAATTGCTTTTATTTTCGATTTATTCATCATGTTTCACATTTCTCATGTACAATGTTCAACACCTTGGGCTTCCCGACAGCGTCGCGGAAGGCGCCTTATGAATAAAGCTTTGATTGATTGACATTAATTTTATGTTTAATTAGCACCACTTACGGGGTCAGAGGTCAAACTAATATTGCATGTTAGATGAACCTGCACATAGCTCTGATACCCCTATCAGTGCATCCCTACTGAAAACCCCAGAACTTCTGGACTGAGCTGGAGAACATCTGTGTGACTGACCTCCCTCAGGACACACAGTCGGATAAAGATGAACTCCTGCTCAGCTGCTGGCATTGAGTCTGCAAACTCATCGTTCTGAAAGGAAAGAAGGAAATAAGATATTTAAAATCATCCATGTTGAACATGGTGAGACACAAAGGGCACGTCGTATAAACTATACGGTGTCAAAGAAATCACTGTTTCTAAAATACAACTTTACTTAGAAATTCCTCCAATGAAGAGAAATGAAACAGAAGGATAAGTAGATCCAGAATTGTCCAACTTCACATGTGAAAGATTTGTCCTCTACAGCTGTAAAGAACATCATCAGTATCCAGAACCTAAGCAAAAATACTTCAGATCTTGTTCTTTAAAAATCAGGTCAATTTCCAGGGAAACAGAGCTGGACACAGAGACAGATAGGGGAGGGAGAGTACAGTCAGACTCACCTTTCCCTGCTTCTCTCTGGCCACACCTGCACATTCCTTAAGCTCGTGACCCATCTGTCCACAGAGAGCACAGGGTCGAGGTTTGTTGGGCTTGAACTCCTCCCTGATGATGGTGAAGTTGGGTTCGTGAGTGGCCAGGCCCAGCATGATAAGGTCAGCTGACATGAAGAAAAAACACAGTTATTCTAATGAAAGATGTCCGGGTTGAATCCTTAAGGACAGTTACCGTCGGCTCCACACAGGCAGTGGTGTGTGTTGGGGTCGTGGTTGGGCTGAGCTGTGGAAATAAAGAGTTGATGGGTCAAATGTCCTGGTCCTTACTGGACTCTTGTTTGTACATGGTAGCAATTTACCTCTCTGCCTCCTGATAAAATCCATGATCTTGTGTTCACCTTCCCCTGGAACACTGGCGTCTGACAGGAACACCTGAGTTAAATCAAACCAGAACCTAAGTCCAGATAATAGCAGGCCCACCAGAACCACCGCTCGGATTTAAAATCGGACTCACAACGATGTTCTTCCATCCTGGGTCGTTGCTGAGTCTGTCAGCCACGTAGTATCGTAAACACCGAGCCAGGTTGTCCATGAACTCTGTTCCCTGCATTTTCACACGCACACACGCACACGCACGCACACACACACACACACACACTCACTCACTCACTACCTGTCCAGCTCAGGAACCAGAACTCTTCCCAGAACAGACGACTTACTGGAGTGATGCAGTTGCTGTCAAACCGCTCTTTGATGTCCTCAGGTGGAAGAAAACCTCCTGCAGAGAAAACAACATTCAGCTGAAGTACGGGAAACAATTGGGGCTTTCACATGGTTTCACACTGGTTTGATTTAAATCAGAATTAATATGAAGTGTGTGTTTCCCTGCTAGTCCAAAGAATCTAAGTTCATATTAAATCAAACATTCAAAGATCAATCAGATTGATATTTCATATTTATATGGAATATCAATCTGATTGATCCTTCAGTAAATGTAACTTCTTCCTTCACGTTACAACATCTGGGTGGGCCTGGCCCAGCCCTGGTAGGTTAATTGTGTTCACATCTGGGTAATCTGTGCGTTTTCCACTTTTTAAATAAACTGAATAGAAAATGCCTTGAAACGGCTCTGGGTGTGGGGCTGACTTTGAAGGTGATCTGAATTCTATCAAATAAATAAAATAAACGTCTGTTTGTATCTAGCAGAAGTATGGAGAGAACCACGTTCTACACACCTCTCTGGATGATCTCCTCCCTCACACGACTCTTCTCCTCCATCAGCTCCACTCCTTCTTTTGAGGCACGAAACCGCCGAGAGCGCTGCTGGTTCATTTTGGCTCGTGGAGCCTGAGCAAAGTTAAACAGGTGTCAATCAGATCCAGAACAGGTTCTGCTATTGAGGAACCAGCAGAAACATTTGGTCCCATCAAAACTAAAACTCCAAAATTGTTCCTGATCCCAATTTAAAGATGTACCCATCTACCAGCAGGCTGGTAGATGGGTACATCTACCAACAATGCAAATATGGGAGGGAATCAAAAGCAACACCGATCTAGAAAGCTGTTGAACCAGATATATCCACAAGTTTCAGCCACCAACACGGCAGGTGTCACACGTTCGTCGACTTCTAGTCCTCTTTATGCATTCATCTGATTCATGAAGAAAACTTAAAATATTTAAACTTGCTGAGCTTTTCCACACATATCAACCCAAATGAAACCTCACCACTCCATCTATGGCCATGTACAGAACCCTCCTGGGACGAACGATGTTGAACAGCCGATCGATGTATTCAAAGATGGCAACCATCATTTCATCCTCGTTTTTGGGAGCAGGTCTAAAAAAAAGAGAAAAAACAGGAAAATTGTGTTTTTTAAAATCCTCTCATTTCCTCACATCAAACCCGTTAATCCAAAATCATCAATCTGATTCAGTCTTGTTTAAATTTGCATCATTTATACAATCCAGCTTTATTTACAACAAAGATGAAAACGACCATCACAGAAAACATTTTACAGTAAAGAAAGTTCAACAATAATAAACAAAATGACTATGACATGTACAGTGGGATGCAAATGGTTGGACAGCCTTTTGCTGGTGAAGGTTCTCAGTCATCCAGGTCAGGGTTAGAGTTCAAATTAAGACAACCTGGGGCCTCATTTGTCAAGCTTGCTTATGCACAAAACGGGGTCGGAAAACTGCGTAAGCAACTTTCCACACAAACTTTGGGATTTATGAAAGAAAACTTAGGCCCTGTCCACACGTAGCCGGGGATCTGCCAAAACGTAGATATTTTTCAACGTTTTGGCCTGTCATCCACACGAAAACGGAGTTTTTTTTCACACGAAAATGGATCTTTTTAAGAACTCCGGCCAAAGTGAAGATCTGCGTTTTCTCCGTTTTGGGTGTCTGCGTGTGGACGGACAAAACCGGAGTTTTAAGGTCTGCAACGTCACTTTCCGCGACAAAAAATGCTGACATCACGTGTGCGACCTGTGTTTCCACTAGCCGACAGCATGGATGCCCTCAGAGCTGCGCTCGCTTTATCAATTGTCCGAGCGCTTTATGCTTGTTTGTTTTTGCAAGCGGAATTACTGCTCCTTGCGGAAGACCACAGACGAAGGACGAGGTTAAGAATGGGGGAAGTACTGCCGCCTACAGGTCTGGCATGTCCTTAACAACATATTTATCCAGGGACGTGTGGACAGAGTTTTTTTTTAAACGAGGTGGTGTGGATGCAAGTTTTTGGAGGGGCGGATATTCGTTTTAAAAAAAAAACCCGGCTACGTGTGGACTAGGCCTTAGTGGAAAAAAGTGTGCAACTTTAAGTTGACTAAGGACCTGGCTTACGCACATTAAGGACATGGAGAGCACCTGCAGTGCTGCTGCGGAGAAGAATAAAATTATGAAATCCTGCAGCATTATCACTTGTACCGCTTCGTGTCACACAGAACAAGTATCACCACCAGATGACACTAACCAGATGGACATCCAGGACCAGTGGGTGAAGAACTTGTCAGACAGAAATCATCCAAACAGAGAAGGACATTCTAGCCAAAGGACTCAATTTTGCTATTTCTCCACGACACATCCACACGGTAGACTTCATCACTGCTACAGAATCTGCTATAAGGAACAACAACCTGAGGAAAACGGAAACTGAAGAACTGAGGATCAAGTAGGGCTGCTCAATTAATTGAATTTTTATCCCAATTACAAAAACAAAACAAGCAGATTATTTGCTCCTCCTACTTGCGCTGCCCTGAGTTGCAAATGAAGCGCTCCACCCACAGTATTGCCAACTTGGTGACTTTGACGCCATTTCCAACAGCTTTTCAGACACCCTTCTTGACTTTTTAAATCTTAAAAGTACCTAGCGAACACCTCAGAAACATCTCTGGTAACCCTTTGCTACTATCTGGATAACTGTCGTTGACATTTCCTGCAGGTTAGCTAAACACTCCGCCTGCACTCCAGACCGTTCTTCAGGACATTAGAAAAGGGAATGATGTAGTGATGTGCCAGTCGCTAAAGAAACGGCTCTCAGAACCAGCTCCCTGTTGGATTAACCAGAGTGAGTGACACACACCGTACCTGCGGGCTCCTGAGCCGCTAAAAACGGCTAAATGTGCGCGTGCAGTGCGCTAAACACACGTGCAGCTTGCCCCTGATTACTGTGAGCAGTGTTGCCAACTGTTTTTGACTGAAAATAGCTGAAGTTCCCCCCAAAAGTCGCTAGATGTCGCCAGATGACGTCACGTGCTAATTTGCATACGACGCAATGACGTCATCTGATTTGCCACGTTTGCGCCATGACGTCACTGGTCTTGTAGAGTAAATCAAATAAAACCCACGTGATTTTATTCAAAAAAATTATTTAATTTATTTTTTTTAATATTTTATTAAAATAAAAACCCATAGAATACAAAACAGCAGCCTTTAAAACATCAAGGAAAGATGGCACAAAAAAATGGAAGGAATATTTCTATTTTGTCTGAAGAGAATGGAACTCAAACACAAAAATATTAAATTGATAGGAATGTGTGTATGATTGAATTAAAATGAATTTTCTCTTGTAGTTTTCAAGTGCTTTGAGATGTATTCTTCTGTTGTGATTCAGTGCTATTTATTGAACTAAAAGATTATATATATATATATTTTTTTGTTTTTGTTTGGTTTTAGCACTTTTGTGTAAAAAGAAGCAGGCCGTATTTAGTATTCAGAAACGTAACATGCAAACTGCCAATGACCTGAGGTGTTTGCCTTACAGTATTATTCTGTTTTTTTATAAAAGTTTTAAATGTGCTACGTTATTGAACTCATCATAGAGTTCCAATGTTCCTTGAATGCACCACAAGTGGTGCGAGAAGCCATGTGTGAGTGCGACGCTGCCTGCCAGTGCCAGCCGAGCTAAGCTGCCGAAATGCGGCAGGATGGCGGAAGGAGTGGTCGCCCTTTCTGCAGCTCCGGTGGCTATCTCAAATAATGGACTTGTGAAAACCCACAAAAGGTTTGATTGGTCAATAGGGGTAGCGTGATCGTGCTGCATGCACATGCGCAGATCATTTTCTTTCTGATCCTTTGGAAGAAAGGACGGTCCTGTCGCTTCAGATGCCTCGCTAATCTGCAGGTAAAGTCGGCTACAAAGTTGTAGTCAAAGTAGCTGAGGGGGTCAGAAATGTCGCCAGATTTGTCGCTAGGCACTTTTTTGAAAAAAAAAAAGTCATTAAGGGGGTCTGAAAAGTTGTTAGAAATGGCGACAAAGTCGCTAAGTTAGCAACACTGATTGTGAGACCAGGTGGGGGGGTGCAGCTGTGGTTGGGACAATTATTACATTAACTGATGGACCTGTACATAAATATTTTATAAATATGGTAGAAATAGATAGAAACAAGTTCCTCACGCTGATAAATAACAACTAATCTCTCTGAGGACACGGTGCTAGTACACTCTCCTACAGCACATTGACACAACTAATTAAATGTTATGCAACATTTTGTGAACATCAATTTATTTGCAGTTATTTATTATAAATGCCACTGTATAATTCTTGCTGTCAGTATTTGCAAAATATTGGTATTTGGGACTGTACTGGTTAGACTTAAATGAGTTAAACCAAGGTCTATAGCCATGGGGTCATAAGCTATGAGCTATAAGTATATTGGTCCTTTTATACTGGGAGCGGGAGCATATATTCCGGAACTGCGCTGCTCTGGGTGGCTGCATGTTGGAGTAGCTCTGTTGACTATATGTAAGTTTTGCCTTTTCTTTGACATTTGTTCTTCTAGCTTCTCAAGAAAAACTGTATTTTTTTGGGACATTTTACTTTTCGGTTTCTGGTGCTGTGAAGCTTGGAGGATTTTTACTGCTATTTTTTCACACTTTTCACCTTTTGAGCATTTGTTATGATATGCGTAACCATGGCAACAAGCTGGTTTACAATCGGGAGCAGCTGATTAACATTGGAAAGGCTGAAATAATACCTCAACTGAAGCCACAAATCCCAAATGAGCTAAAACGCAAGAAGCGTGGGTGCAGAGCGGGAGCAAAACGGAGAGAGAGAAAGAGGAAAGTCAAACTATCTCTTCCATCGATCATAATAGGCAATGTGAGATCACTGGCCAACAAGATGGATGAACTCCAAGCCCTTTCAAGGACTCAGCCAGAGTATCGGCAGTGTAGTGTTATGTGTTTCACCGAGACATGGCTGCAGGACCATATCCCCGATTCCAGCGTCTCTCTGCCAGGATTCCTGACTGTACAAGCAGACAGAGAGCTGAAGAGGAGCGGGAAAAGAAAAGGAGGTGGAGTGGCAGTGCTTGTCAACAACAGATGGTGCCATCCAGGTCATGTTTCAGTGAAATGTCGTCTCTGAAGCCCAGATGTTGAACTCTTGGCAATAAGTTGTCGCCCATATTATTTGCCAAGAGAGTTCACCAGTGTTGTCTTGGCAACCGTTTATATTCCACCTTCAGCCATTGCTGAAAATGCATGTAGTGCCATCAGTTCTGTTGTCGCTAAGCTACAAACCCAGCACCCCAATGCATTTGTGGCTATATCTGGTGATTTTAATCATGCCTCGCTCTCTGCTGCACTTTCAACATTTCAACAGTTCGTCAGCTGCTCCACCAGAGAAAACAAGACATTGGATTTGTGTTATGCAAATGTAAAGAATGCATACATGTCCAAAACAAGACCTCCTATGGGACAATCAAATCACAATCTTGTTTTTCTCTGCCCAGAATACAAACCACTTGTTCAGAGGCAACCTGTGACAAGAAGAACTGTGAGAAAACGGTCACAGGACGCTGAAGAAGCCCTGCAGGGTAATTTTGAGACCACAGATTGGATGACTCTCTGCCAAGGATATGAACAGGACATCAATGCCATGACTGTATGTGTCACTGACTACCGTAAATCCTCTAATACAGGCCCGGGCCTGTATTTGACTCAAGCTCATCAAGCTCCAGGCCTTTATTGGAAGGAGGGCCAGTATTAGAGGCAGGCCTCTATTTCTATTTGAGCAAAATGAACTAATGGTTCGCTGGAGTTTTTGACAATTAAAATTGCGCCCACATTTTCAAAGTTAAACACATTTCTTTTAACAACGGTAGTTTCTGCTTCAGCCATCTCCCCCCTCCCCCTGCTTCAGCCCTCTCCCCCCTCCCCCTGCGCAGCGGCCGCAAACTCACTGATGCGCCTGCAGCCTCTCGGAGTTCCTGCCGCTCTAAACATTAAAATAATTATTTAATTTTCTGTTCCTCACTTCTGATAACCTTCAATGGTGTCTGTTTGTTGCAACCAGCAGGTACAAAAACTAACTTGTTTTTATTTGACTATTTTTCTGTCCTGCCTGTTTATTATCTTCCTGCATCTCCTCTCAATCCTAAAGAGAAACTGCTACCTGGGTTCATATATATTCACCTCATGAGTTACCTTTGAACTGCAGTTCTAAAAGATCTACCGACCGCAAAAACAGCGGAGCGCTCGCTGTTTGGCGGCCATATCAGTGATCAGTGCGTCGGAGGACAAGGTGATGCCCGCAGCGCCCCGCTCCACAGCATGCAGCGAAACGCATCAGGCGCAAATAAAAGACAGAAAACATTAATGGAAATGAACAGACATGAACGATCGCGTGTTAAATTAGTTTTTGAGGTGGCGACACCTGATTGTTACTGTGGCCGTGCTCAGGAGGCAGATCTACCGACCGCAAAAACAGCGGAGCGCTCCCTGCTTGCCGGCCGCATCAGTGATCTGTGCGTCGGAGGACAAGGTGAAGCGCCCCGCTCCACAGCAGCGATACACATCAGGCGCAAATAAAAGACAGAAAACATTAAAGGAAATGAACCGACATGAACGATCGCGTGTCAGTACCTACGGTCTGGCACAGCGCGTTGCCCCCCACCCCCACCCCCACCCCCCCGAGCGCAGGAGCTTGTCACCTGCTGATAGCAGGCTGCTGTCTTTTCCGAGGGCTGCATCTTGCCGGTCATTATCACGTGACAGCGACTAGTCGACGACAGGCATAAAAAGTCACTATAGTGAAGTTGACTAGTTCATACACCCCCTACTGCTGCTCTCCAGAGTGTTCTGCAGCATAATCAGCACGTTCTCTTTGAACTTGATAGTGTAATGACCTGGCTGGGGTTGTAAGCCAGGTGCATTCTGGGTATTGTGTTATATGTGTTTCTGCTAGTTCCTATGTGCTGATTTGCGTGTTGTGTGAGTGTTATGTAAGCCACAGGGAAGGTGATGTGTGTTCTGTGGAGCGGGTTGAATTAGCATGGTTAACTGACACCATGACTCTGTGTGGTAGGAGCGTGATAGAGGATCGTGTCTGTAGCGTTACAAAGCGTTGAAGAAAAAGCCTAATAAAGGTCTGCGTGAACCTCTACTGCCTCCTGCTGGTTGATATGGGGACTATAACCCTGCCGCTGGGACGCTCATACTTGCTTGTTACCACATTCCACCCGGCCACAATAAGAGACCGGCCATTATTTACCTCCGCTGACTCCGACACCGGCCAAAATTGGAGACCCGGCCTTTAATTGAATACCGGCCTGTATTAGAGGGTTTACGGTATATAAACTTCTGTGTGGACAATATCATACCCACCAGAACAGTGAGATGCTTCGCTAATAACAAACCCTGGATCACTAGTGAACTGAAGAATCTGCTAAATGAGAAAAAAGGAGCCTTCAAAAAGGGAGACAGGGAATTATTGAGGAGTATACAGAAGCAACTGAAGATCAAGATCAGAGACAGCAAAGAGGCATACAGGAAGAAGCTGGAGAACAAACTACAGAGGAACAAGTCTGGTCAGGGATGGAGAAGATCACAGGCTTCAAGCAGAGGAAGGATTGCACAGATGGCAGCCTGGACACAGCCAATGAACTGAACAAGTTATTCAATAGGTTCAGTTCAGGAACAAACCCAGCATCCTCCTTGCCTGTCCCCAGCCAATCAGATACCCCATCCTCCTCTGATCCAACATTTTCCTGTCACACGCCAGCTCTTTTGTCCTCCAACGCAGTCATGGACTCTTCTGGTTCTATAAATCTGTCTTCAACCAAGTCAGGAGATGCTGCTGCCCCATTTACCTCCCCCTCCCACCTATCTGTCTCTAGAAGTCAGGTGAAGAGGCAGCTGGAGAGACTGAACAGGAACAAGGTTGCAGGTTCCGGTGCAGAACAAACCGAGCAGCTTGAGGCATGCTAAAGCACATTTGGACAAGGCAGCTTCATTTTGGAATAAGGTGCTGTGCACTGATAACCCTAAAATTTAGTTATTTAGTCATAACAAGGGGTGCATAACAAGCAGTGTGAGGTAATCTGTGTGTCACACAGAAACACAACACAGCACAACAATGGTGGTGATGTTGAACATTCGGCTCATTCTCTGGCTTTTTTACAGACTGAAACAGGAAATGACCCCGCAATCAATCAATAATCGACAGTTGTCGACATTGCGTTTCCAGACCAAGTCAGCATGATAGGAACTACCGCAAAGCAGATACTGAAAAGTTGGGTCGAAATACCAAACTGTGCTGTTGTTAAAGGCTGTCAAAGCGGACCAAACTTATTTCAGTCAAACTGAGGAGTGCTGCTGGAAAAAACTACATAAATCAAGCGAATGAATAGTTTCCTACTTGTCTTCAGGATGTGTGCACGGATGGATGATCCCATTCATGTCCAAGTATAGATTGTCAAATTCCACCTCATTGGGGTTGGGCTTGGTAGTGTCCACAGGAATACGAACTCCATTACACTCTTTCCCCTGCGAGGACAAAATAGAATATACGGTTCATATTTGTTTTTTAAGCAGGAAAATACTAAAATATTCCCAAGAACAGATACAGAGGTTTGTGTTTTTGACAGCAGGGACAACACTAAAGCACCTGTTGTAAACCCCCACACACTGTCTGAATGCTGCTACTGGGAATAAACATGGTGTGGTCTGTCTGTGAGGTACAGAGATGTTAAATCAGCATGAAAGTCTATTTACAGGAAAACTACATGAGTGGGATGAGAACTGACATGATCATTTTGGCATTTGGATTACCATGACCTGGATGACTGAGAACCTTCACCAGCATACTGATAGACATCTGATGTGGTGGCAACAAAATGGATGCTAAAAATTTAAATAAGAACAGTTTCTTTTATTTAAGCTTTTCAGGTGGCTCGATGCTGGACCAATCACGTGACTGGAATAGAGGCACACTAAGTAGAATAAATAAATAAAACTCATTAAAAAATTTAAGAAAAGGAAAAGAGAAAACGAATAAGAAAGTGGTAATCAGTGGATCCTGGGAAAGGTGAAATTGGTAGAAAGAGCAGAACAAGGACAGGGTGGTGATGAAGGTCCCACCAAAGCCTAAACAGGTGAGTTTAAAGGAGACCACTGAGTCCACTGATCTCAGGCTCAGGGGGAGAGAGGTCCAGAGTCTGAGGGCCACAGCAGCAGATGATCTGTCACCCACACAAATGAGAATAATCTTCATAGGTTGCAGACAGCCCAAAACAAAGCAGCTCGCATTGCTTTGGGTTGTCCATATGGAAGCAGTATAAACACTACACATGAAAAGTTGATCTGGCTGAAAGAAAGAGTGTTTGGAATATTTCTTTAACAGCATTTAATAGAAACATAATGACAAAAATACCACAAGTAATTAATTATATATATATATATATATATATATATATATATATATATATATATATATATATATATATATATATATATTTTTTTTTTTTTTTTTTTTTGGCAGATCTACAGTTATTTTACAAGACAAAACAGGGACGATGTATGCTCCCTGTGTGTGGAATCAAGCACTGGTGGTATGTAACACACTACAAGGATATGTGTTGTTTGAAAATAACAACATAAGATTTTAGACTTCTAATAGACCATTTACTTTAGCTAAGTATAGCTGTATGTATGTGCACATATCTATATATGCTTATTATTGGGTATTTACATTTATTATATAAAAGTGTGTAGAGGTGAGCAGTGTTTTAGGGTTAATGTATGAATTAAGATGGATTTGGCTGCTTTTAAATGTTGAGTTTTGCTTTCTAAATTAGTGTGTGTGTGTGTGTGTATGTGTGTCCATTTCTCTCTGGACAAAAATAAAATAATTAGAATAAAATGCATTTATGATTAAAAAAAGGCTGCTGACTGAAGCAACAAGAAACTAATATTTTTAAAGCATAAAACATTTTCTTTGTGTTAAATCTTAACTAACATTATTTGATATAACAGAATTATTAATCTGGTAAATAAACTAACTTTAATATCGTTTATCTCGACGGTAAAGCAGACCCTCACAGCTGTCGATGGTCCCTGACTGCTGACGTGTAGACCAGCCGTGCTACAGATAATCTTTAATCTTCATTTGCAGCCAGGAGCGTCTGATCCCCTGATGTCAGCATCATTAATAAGTATAATTATACATCAGCTTTAGTCTGGGACGGACCCGTATCATTAACACGCTGTCCTCTTTATGTTAAATAGCTTTAAACTAGCTTACAGCTGCTAACAACACACGTAAGCTAGTTATGTACTCTGGTCACACGAGGCAAACACGCTGATGTTTGTTCTGAATGACATACGTGACGTAACGGTGAGTAACATGAGAGCTAAACGGTTTACAGCGTTAACGGTAGGGTCATGTGACCGTTAAAACTCACAGCTGCTCAGCAGGAACAAAGTCCTCCAGTCTCTAAACATCCAGACTCTGGAGCAGAACACGAAAACCACATCAATGATGAAAAGTTAAATAAAATAAGACGAGAAACAGGAGCTGAAGCGGACATCTGGTGTTGCCGTGGAAACGTGTAAACTGACGTGACTAAACAGCTCCAGCTACACAGCTTTAATCAAACAGCTGATGCCCTCTGTTTTAGTTCAGATATCTCTGTAGTCCTCGTAGGCGTGGATGAATAATTATCGCTCCGTCTGGATGAAGAACGAGGCTCTGTCCTTTCCTTTCATTCTCATTTATCTGGCATCGATTAACAGGGTCTGCCTGCAGGTGCATGAGAGCCTTGCTTGCCATTTCTCGCTTTGCTGACTGAAACTACCTGAGCTTTGTTAGTGATACCGTCAAAACCTTGAGTGCACAGGCACACTTAGTCCAGCAGGGATTTATCAGGATAGACCCGATGTTCTGAGCTCTCTACGTGGTATACCCGCAGGAGTTTAGCCGTTTCTCTCCTAATGATCAGGAAGGTAACACATGAAGGTACTAGGAGGATGTCTGTGGTTACAAACACTAATCTGATATGTTGATCTGTATATTTAATGGTTAATGAGAGTGTGACCGTCTCCACGTGTCCCTGGTGGACAAGCCTCTTGCCTGGTTAGGCAGCAGCTCGCTGGGACACTCAGGATCAAGCCACCCTGAAGATTAATCATTCGATGTCGAATAAAAAGATTCCCTTTTATCTACATTAACAGGAAGCATTTTTCAAGATTAAATTAGAAAGTAGCCTGCACAGCTACTCCAGTTAGATTGAGAATGGTATGCTTGGTACGCTAGAGCTACCATCAGGGACCAGAAGAAGCTGCAGCGTGTTGTACGCTCTGCTGAGAAGGTCATTGGCTGCAAGCTCCCCTCCATACAGGACCTGTACACCTCCAGGTCATTGAGGCATGCAGGTCGGATCACAGCTGACCCGTCTCACCCCAGACACAGTCTCGTCGGCTCGTTCCCATCTGGCAGGAGGCTCTGATCCATTTGGACCAGAACCTCTCGCCACAACAACAGTTTCTTCCCATCTGCTGTCGGACTCATGAACAACAATCGTAGACCCGCCCACTCTAGCTGCTTTGTTCCAGTCACATGACCCTGTGTTGTGTTTGCACCTGAACTGACTCGCTCTGACTTGTACCTACACCAGGTTTCCCCCCAGCGCTTTATTAGCCTGGCGGTCCACCAGGCTAAGCGTCATGCCCCACCCCCTCCCCGACTGTGTCCGCTGACATGAACGGCGCAACAAAACTAGAGCCCTCCATCAGCTGATACTGGTGAGAAACAGCAGTGGAATGTGTGCAACCCCCCCACCCCCATGGTAGGCATCCACAAACATGACTCCACCAACAGGTGCAGCGCCAGGTTTTATTTTCTGGATGAGCCTTAATTAGACAAGTTATTATCAATATTACCAGCAGATATAGAAACAATACCTAAACCAGAGGTTAGCTAGACATGTTTTTTTTCTTTTCATTTTAACCACTAGGGTTTAAAAATGGTCATAATCGTTTTTTTCGCATCATTTTCATTTCTCACATAATAATAAATAAAAATTCACTATTTAACTGTCATGAATATTTAGTCTAAACAAGCTGAGCAGCAACATATTAATTTTATAGGGTAGGAACATTTGACCAGCTGCCTTCTGGTTCTGGCCTGTGACCCAGCTCTCACAGCTCCTCAGCTGCACTGATCATGGTGTCCAGGTATGATGTAGCTCAGATGTTCTGATAGGAATCTTTTTGTTACCTCCGTGATGACCTCTGTGTGTAACGTTTAAGATGTCTGCGCACCTGCATGTGTGGGGTTCTAATTCCAGTCCGTCAGAACGACCAACTTCATTTTAGTTTTGCTTATCGTTTTTTTTTTTGTGCACCACGTACCGCCGTAGTTTCCTAATGTTGTGATTGTCGCACACACTGATTGTGATTCAGAACACAACGCTCTAGAACAGAAACCACTAAAACACAGGTTTGTTTCCGTTACCACACACACTTCCTGTTTGAGTTTATCACGATTCCCACGTGGATGCTAATGCCTTATGAAGGGCATCTTGTGACACAATGAACCTTCACGCAACATTTACGAACATGAACATTTTCCCACAATTTTGCAGTTTTCCTTTACAAAGTTTTGCCCCTAATTAAATAACAGTTGGGGTTAAGTGGTTACAGTATCCAGGTGCAGGCTTTTTGACCCCTGCCGGGCTCCGTACTAAATTGAATTAGTTTCGGCTAATAACGGAGCGGAGTTATTCCGACCGACCGATGAAAAAATACCGAACCGGCGGGATCCCGGGACAATGCTCACCTTCTCCTCCAAACAGTGAACGATGATGGACGGGTACTTTCTGCTCAGCCATCGGAAAAACGCCGGGACTCCCATTTCTGCTAACGAATCTGTCGATAAGATTAAAAACGAAACGAACAGTTAAGGATTAAAACCCTTGTTTGTAACAGAGACCAGCTACGTGCTGCGGAAAACAAACCTCCAGGTAGTTTTTCCGGTTTATGTCCCGAACTTCCGGTGAGTTTGAAGGAGCAGCAGCAGCCTACAGCGCCCCTGGTGGTCGGAGAAACCGAAAGGTTCTTTCTGTTTCTTTTTTAGTTCCATTGTTGCAAAACGGGGTTCTAACCGAAACTTTTGCTACTCTAAGAACAGAAAACTATGAAAGTAGGTTTCTGAAGGATGGCTGTAGCATTCAACAGTACTAAAGCACCCACCTTCTGACACAATAGAGTGATAACAGGTAACAAAAAGTCCACATTTAACAGTAATTGGTTATTCTGGTTGTGACAGATTCATTGTTCTCAAAATTAAATCTGTTAGATTTTGTGTTTTTTATAAAGAAATAAAACTTTGGTTGTACCCAAAGGTAACATCGAGAGGTTTGTAAGGCTATTCATGTGCATTGAGAACTGCCTAACCCTAAGAATCGAAGATAATCTATTAGATGAAAACTTATTAACAATGTTAATGCTAATTTAAATCAAATTTTAAAGATGATAGTTCAGGAAGGTATTTCCAAGCTTTTAATAGTGATCAATCCTACATGGAAAAAGCTGTCTAAATATATAAAGTGGCTGGTTGAACCAAAACTTTAACAAAGACTCATCAATTATTTTAAACATAATTTCTTCAAGTGTCAAAATCAACCCTTCCTATAAGACTGTACGATGATGATGATAATATCACATTTGCCCCCTCGGTCTGCTCCTCAGCTAAAATGTTTGTTCTTGGTAAAACTGAAGACTGTGGTGTGTATTTAGCCCCCCCCCCCCCCCCCCCCCTTTTTTTTTTGTTGTTGTTGTTGTTGTTTATTGTTCTATAAAATGGTTTTATCATATTTATCTGTTGGGCTGTTTTTGAATTTAGACTTTTATTGTCTATGGGATGTTGTATTGATCTGCTAATAAAATAAATAAGCCATAAAAAAAAGCACCTTCTGGTTGCCAGGTCCTACGCATGGATGACTCTTGTTTAAAAATAATTAATGACACATTTAGATATATCTTTAATTACTTTTGTATGGATGTAATTTTGTTACAACAAGCTGCAGCACATTTAATGATGGGGAAAGGAGGGTGCGATGATAACATAATTTAAAAGTTAGTTTCCTGTTGGTTCAGTAGACATCCATGTGATTTTTTACATTTACATCGTTTGTCTTTTTCAAAATGTTAGTTTTATTTCATAAGCAGACCCCTCAACAATATTGTTTTGTTACGTTTACATTTTTATTTTATGTTTATCCCGTTTAACTCGTCAACAGACATGTTTCATATGAATATGCAGGAATTTTAGCATTTTGATGAACTTTCAAATAAAACAGTCAGACTGACAACAATAGTGTGCAATTCCATAAAGTCTTCTGGGCAGGAAACATAGTAGGGTGAATGACAGTGAAAACAAAGATAGTAGAAACTATGAGTTTGTTTAAAGTTGTTCAGAGATCTCAGAAATATAATTTTATAAAACTGAATTCCTCCACGGTTAAGCCTGAGGAACAAATAAAATATCTTTGCAGACCAAAAGTGAATTCATCCTCATCTGTCTGACCACAGATGGAGGGAGAGTGCCCCCACCTGGCAAAAACCCTTTGTAAAGGCAGCAGATCAGCCTGAGACGTGGGGGAGATGCTTTACAGTCAGCTCTGCCACCTCCCTTCCTCTTATGTTGTCATGATCCAGGAAACAAGCCGTGCAGGTGTATGAGGATCATCAGGAGAGACTGAATTTCAACAACGAATGGAAAACACAACTTTATTAAGAGTCCAAACCAAAACACAACATAAAATCTGTCTTTTTACTTTGTGCAAATAAAAGCGTCTTATGTGTTTGGGAGCTGCTTCCTCCGGAGTCCTTTGATTAGCTGATGTTTTCAGTGAACACATGAAAGCTCAGCAGGAAGTCCTGTGATGTAATGGAGCCATGAGCGTCCCTCAGACTGCAGTAAACTCTTCCTCAGCCTATTTCAGTCACTTTTTGCTCATTGTGCAGCTGGAATAAAGACCCACTGGGTCGTTTGTTGCTCGTTTGTCTTCATGTTGAATTTACCAAATGTTTCTGCTGCTCTTTGAATCTCCAGCACAGGAAACTGTAATTATTCTGGAAGTTGTTCAGAGACAGACTAGAACCACGTGTGAGACATAAAGCAGGACACAAAATCACCTCTGTACGGTCTATCATCCAATCCTCTGGTCATCTATACTCTTCTTAGTTCTCGTGTCCCCCAGTCCTGATGTCCTCATGTCTATTCAGCAGGTTTGTGACCCAGAATCCAAAACAAAACTGGTTCTGTTGCTGATCAAAAGGCACAAAATCACTCTGAGGCTGTCTGATGGGTTAGTAGTTGGACTAGTTCAACACACACACACACACACACACACACACACACACACACACACACACACACACACACACACACACACACATGCACACACACATACAGGACAGCAGTAACTCAACAGTTGGAGCGGGTGGTCCAGTAATCAGAAGGTTGCAGGTTCAATCCCGGCTCCAGACAGAGATTTCTGCTGTTGTGTCCTTCGGCAAGACATTTAACCCGCCCTACCTGCTGGTGGTGGTCGGAGGGATCGTAGCGTCTGGACAGCCTCGCCTCTGTCAGTGTGCCCCAGGGCAGCTGTGGCTATGATGTGCTTATCATCATCACCATGACACATAAGCACATGTACATGCAGACACACACACATTTAATCTGACTCGTTTAGCATTTAATCTGACTTGACCTTTTTCCACAGAATCAGAACTTTTCTGTGGGATGTGTTGTTATTGAAACATGAATTTTCTGAGGCTCTTTGAGCTGTGAAATAATAAAAGTGGTCTTTGTAGAAAACCCACAGGTTCTAGTTCTGTCTCGACTCAGTGGCGCCATCAGCAGCTCTGATGTTTTCATCTGTGTGATCCGCTTCATGCTGTGACCTTCTACCAGAGCAGCGTCATTAGGCGGGAGCAGCTGAAAGCAGCTGATCAGTGTGAGACTGCGAAGAGAGGGAGTATCAACAGGGTCTCTGGTCCCTTCAGCTCATTATTCACATAATCAGTTGTCATCAGTTATCAGGTTAACTGTCAACTAAATGTAGAAATGGATGAGAAGAATGCGGGCTCGCGATTGGCTGAATGTTTAGATGACGTGAAGGGCTGGCTGGCATCCAACTTCTTAAAGTTAAATGAAAAGAAGTCTGAGTTTATTGTTTTTGACCCCCGTGTAATGAATTAGATCACGTGTTATTTAATGAGCCATAAGGCGTGGGATTCCATAGGAAATATGAAATCCACCTTAAGGATCTGTGAGGTTGTTTAAACCAGATGATTGGATCTTTTTATTGCAGGGATTAGATAACAGCTTCGTATTCACTCAGAGACATCAGAAGAGAGAGAGTCAAGTTTAAAAGTTAAGAATTTTATTACTAACAAATTAAACTAGACTGACTTTAAAACTAAATGTATGGTGTAACTAAAGTGGATGAGATGGTGAATGGATGACGTGTGATGTTAATCAGAACCAGCAAATCCGAAGAAGCGATTAGTTCTGACGGGAACAGAAGGTGATGTCTTCGCGTTAAGCTTTGGTTAGGAGCTTCATAAACACATGAGACACCATTTGCCGGTCTACCTACCCTTCAGGAAGTCCCCTTTAGATCAGGAATATCGAGGTCCAGCTTGACCTTCTCTGGAACCGAGCCGGTAGGAAAAGCAGCGTTTCCGATCGGTCCAGTCTGTGAGTTACTTCCGGGCACACGAAAGTTTGTTGGCGTCTGGTGAGACCCAAGCCTGGGTCTTGATGGTTCAGCTTTTATTCTGAAAGGAGCTGTTGCCGCAGTTGGAATAAAACGAAATTTTCAGCTTGTCGTTGGTTCTTTCGGTTGAAGAGTGTAGATCAGGATTGGCCACTCCGTCACTTTCTCTGGAACACTTTGAACTGGCGTTAGAGCTGACATGGCATAGTTTTATACTTCAGATGTTATGGTTTATTGTCGCATGAAAAATTACCAAACACCATCAAAACCACGCCTCCGTCAGATCTGTAAGATTCTGATTGGATGGATCAGTGAAAGTAATGTGTTATGTCTTTTTAACGCTAAGTGAAATGAGTCCTGTTGGAACATTTAAAGTCATAGTACCTTTATATTCTATAGGATCATAATAAGGTAATTAATATTTTGATTTCACAGATCGGTCACATCTTATTTATTGACTAACACTTGGTTGGATTAGCTTTATTAAAATAAAGTTCCTTGATTAATTAAAAGAAAAGAGTCCATTCTTCATTCTTTTGTTGAGCTGAAAATAAGCAGGTTAGAAGGAATGCATGAGACCTTGAGACCATATCTCATGCAGACTAGACTTTTGCAGAGGAGGGAAAACACAGTCATTCCGTTCCGTTACACCTGCAACCACCATGGCTCTCACCCTGTTTGTGACCTTTTAACCCTCAACCCCAAACAGTGTGTGTCAAGTGTCGGTGTAAAGCTGGATGCTGAACTCACAACGGCCCCACAGATAAACTCCGTAGTGAGGTCTTGCTTTTATCAGCTTCGCCGTCTGACTCGCCTCAGACAAATCCTGAAACGGAGGCATTTGGAGTCAGTCATCCATGCCTTCATTACCTCTCGCCTTGACTATTCAAACGCCCTCCTCATTGGTGTTCCGGTCTCTGCCCTGAATCGGCTGCAGGTCGTCCAGAACGCTGCTGCCAGGTTCTTGACGAATACACACCGACGTAGCCATATTACCCCTGTCCTGACACATCTTCACTGGCTCCCTGTCATTTTCAGAGTACAGTTTAAGTTATTGACTTTTGTATTTAAAGCACTCAACGACCTGCTCACTCCATATGCACCCACGCGCACATTGAGGTCGGCTGACCTTTTGCTGCTGTGTACGCCGCGGGTGCGATACAAATCGCGGGGTGAACGAGCATTTGTGCATGCTGTCCCAAAGCTGTGGAACTCGTTGCCCATTGAAGTTCGGCAGGCTCCATCACCGGCGGTTTTT